GTCTAATTGCTATTATTCGGTCACTGAAGTAGCCAAGTACTCTTCTTGCTGTACCCTTCCTAACTAGAAAAGCGACACCGTTCCTTGTTTTTCATGTCCAGAGTAATAAACAGTGTGATCTTCAAATTGTCCAATCCCTGATTAAAAAAAATATTTTTTTTTGGTCCTGTAATTGATTTCCAAAGCTTCTGAAACACAGTAGATAGCCAAAACTCGCAATGCCCTTCTTTGGCCAACCAAGGGCTGGGGAAGTCAAACTTTATCATCTGGATGTAACAGAATTGGAATGCTGCATCTTTCTCCACTAATTTGGGGAGTAATAGGATAGGTCATTTATCTTGGGAAGCAGTGCATTGACATAAAATTGAATGACAATGGGGCAAGGATACGGCCCGACCCAACTCCTCTATTCACAGAGATCTCACTAGTACACTGTCCTGGGGAGGTACATCTAAGTGTTCTGATTGATTTATCATAAAGTTTATATATAGTACCAGTCTTCTATCAGGGAAGAATTTTGTAATACTGGGGATTAAATCAAAGCTGCTCTAAAGTCTATAAAGAAAAGCCTATGGTTCAGAAGTATACTTTTCTGCAGAAACTGTAGAATTAGAGCATGATTGGAGCTGAAGTGTGAATCCAATTTCTTCCTCAGACAATATACTCTCTGAATCTGTCCAATCCACAAGCTTAACTAAGAGGTGCTTGGAATGTATTTTGCTAATAATACCAAAGAGACTCATGTCAGTAATCAATGGAAAGATTCCGATTTCCTTTTTCACAGACTGTCAAAACAAGGCCCCAATCTTTGGAATTCATTGCTTTACAGTTCATAAACATGGACAAAAAGGCAAGTACTAGAGCCCACCAATCTACTCTGGCATGTAATATTTCAGTTATGCAAAGTCTACATCTGGTGCTTTACCAGGTTCAGCTGCTGAACTGGGTCAATTTTGCTGCTGTTCCAGATTAAATCTTTCTTAAATTTGGAAACAATACTGGAGGTGGGAGACTAACAACTGTGGGAAGGGATTCAGATTTCCTTGGTGAAGAAAACTGAGCCAAAAGAAAATTTAATTCAGATTTTTTTTCTTTTTTCCCCAAAATCTACTGAGCACCTGATACATGGATGGTTTTTTTTCCTATTATTTTGAATATATCTGAACAGTCCCTTTATCTCAATATCACTTGCCAACCTGAGCTCAGCTAGAACATTCCTAAGACCATTTCTGCAACTCTAGATTAGTCGTAGTTGTAGTAGGAATAGTCTTATTTCAATCATCAATCGGTTTAACGTAATATTCAACCTTAAAATTACAGTTGTTCCATTGTGGCAATCGTTGTTGTTCAGTCGTTAAATTATGTCCGACTCTTCGTGACCCCATGAACCATATCGCGCCAGGCCTTCCTGTCCTTCACTGCCTCCCTGTGTTTGCTCGGTTTCGTGCTCATAGCTTCAGTGATGCTATCTAACCATCTCATCCTCTGCTATAGTTTGTGGCAATAGTTTAACCTATATATGAACTGACTGAAATTCAGAACAGGAGCACAAACTGTAAAATCATAATACTAGTGCCATTAAGACTGTAAATTTAAGGTTTTAAAAACAAATGTGAATATAGTAGATTTTTGTAATTTGGGTAACACTATATAGTATAGTCATTATACCAAGTCAAAAGGCTACAGGAACTGATGGAATACCCACTGACATATGGCAAGCAACAGAAGAAGAATCAGTCAAGGTTCTAACCAAGCTATGCCAACAAATCCAGAGAACACAGACATCAATCTACATTCCAATACCAAAAAAGGAAACTTAACAGAGTGTGAAAACTATCATATAATATCCTTAATGTCACATGCTAGAAAAATAATACTTAGGATCATTCAATGCAGATTAGAGCCTTACATGGAAAAGGAGATGCCAGATGTTCAAGGTGACTTTAGAAAAGGCCCGGGAACATGAAACATTACTTCTGATTCATGCTGGATAATTGAAAAAGACAAAGAATACCAAAAAGAAGTATGTGCTTCATCAATTAAAGGAAAATCTTTGATTGTGTCGATCACATCAAGCTGTGGAAAGTGCTCAG